CAATGAACAGGATTACAACAGCACCAAAAGCTCTGTAGAAGTGCGCGATGCGACCCTGCGTACCAGGGATCATAGTCTCTGGGTCATTCCTCAGCGTGAAAGCGAATTGCTTAACAAGGAGGTTGAAAACCTGTTGGTTGTGTGAACTTCTGGGGCACATAGGAAAATCAACTTATCCATACCGGAGAGTAGAACCTTGATGTCGCCTCTTCCGTGTCATGCTCAACAGGGAGGCCATATTGCATTAACATGATATCCATGTCTATTACAATCGACTTGAAAAGATTTTTGGGAATACGAGAGCGCTGGATTTCAAAGGATCCAACATCTTTCAACATTTCCACAGGCTTAAGTCCGACGCGAGGAGCGACCTCCTCATATGTGGCCGTGGAGAAGCTAATTCCTACACCATGTTATATGTCAATTCGTTAGCGCACCAGATTCCAAGACGGAGAAGATAGGGACAGACGTGAGTCGTTGTTTTTTAATGGAACATCAAGATCGAACTGTTTACCGAGAGGGCGTACAATGACCATAGTGGCATCTGGTGTGTCAGGAGCAACAACGGTTGTGTGGGTCTCCGCAGTGTAACGTCGTTGCTTCTTGGATGCCATTGTAGTGGATGGTCGAACGAAGGTTCCAGGCCACTCAGAAACTTTGGCGCTATCACGTGTTTAGGGTTCATTCAATCATTAGCCCGACACCACCCGAAAAACGTCTGTGCCTAGAGAACTACCAAATCAACCAAATCCCTCCCACCCCTACCCCTAGCTATCGCACCACTTCCCACAATGGCCACGGCGGATCCAGGTGGTAAAGCGGGCCCCAGGCAACCAGCAAACCCAACTCGGCGAAGATCAGGACCTACCGAAACGCACTCCCACCGCAGGCCCACAGCTGAGCCGGCAACACAGCCTCTGTCAGAGGACAGAGCGAAATTCCAGCACCAGGGAAACCCAACCTAGACCCAGAAGGCAACACGCATCCGAAGCGCATCCCACGGAAGCCAACCAGATCACGTACTGCCACCAAACTGGAACCCGTTCGAACAATTGGATGTAGCCAGCAGAGCAAACAGGCCAACTACCCAGACACGGACTCGGCAAGTCCAATGAGGCCGAACCACCACTCTGCCCGGTGATGCAGCTTACTTAATAACTCCCCAGAGTGGAATGGACAACAGCCAAGTGCTCGACATGGAAAATGTCTCGAAAATGAGAGAAATTGATCCAAGACCAGTTCATGAATATACATTTATTATCATATTTAAATGGTCAATGCGCGGAGACAGTCTAAGTTATAAGTATACGGTACTGTAAGCTTATCGCTTACACTTCGCATCTGTACTTGTCGATTGTAATCGTAAAAATATTGAAGCTACGAACTAGCGGCGTATAATTAAGTGCTAGGAAAAATGTGTACAATGTTAATTAGGCTACTACATCCTAAGTGATGAAAGGCAACCTCACCTCAGTTCCAAAGACGTGAACTGAGGAGAAGAGGAAAGAAAAAAAATCGCGCGAGGTGGCTTGATGTAAGCCATCCTCGACTGCATTCATCAACATGGATGCCAAAAGCAATCCTTCATGGAAATGCCCATGCGCAAGAAGTATGGGTCCGACGGGACTCAATGGACGGTCCACAGCGTACCAAGAAACAAGAAATTTCAAAAAAAATACACGTGTACAAGATCGCAACAAACTTGCTTGAACCAGGCCAAGGTCACAGAGTATATATGAAGTCTCGGTGTCTGTCACCCAGCCTCAGCTTTTCTTCAATATCGTCGTCTGCGCCGTTACCGTGTAATCTGCGCTCCTCGGCCTTCCGCAAGTTCTTGTAATGAAAATAGCCGAGTGCCAGGCATACATCTACGATAAATGCTGCGTACGTGATCAGAGAATCGTTGTTAGCCAAGTTGCTGGATAAGATCAAGCGAAACAGTTACGTCCTCACCAACAGTGCAGCTGATGTTGAGCTTCGTTGTTTTGTGGAAACGAGGGGCATCGTGGTACATCCACGTCCTAATATCCTCCAGAGCTGCTGCAGATGTTGCTGGAAACCCCATGCAGTGAGCACAATCCGAGAAGCATTAGGAACGTTGTGACATTACCAAATGCGAGAGCTGTGCACGGCGGTAGTGAGGATAGAATTGCTGCAGGAAATTCATCAACTTCAAAACCAAAATCGTCGACGATCTTACTTTGGACCACGTAACCGCACAAGGAAGGTGATGACAAGCCAATCACTTGGGCGAATACGAGCCATACCTCACATGACATTTGTGCTCTCTATGAATTTCAAGTCAACGCCACGTTCACCTTGGGCAGCAATGTGTACAAACGATACATCATGATGAAACCTGCCAGAGTGATGAAGCTGGAGCCAATCGCAATTTCCCCTGCAACGATATTTGTCGCTAAATATGCGGCCACCATGCTCACTGAATTAGACACTAGTTTAAAATCCGAAACAATGCAAGCGATAACGCACAAATAAACCCGCAGGCGAATGGAGGGACTCCATAAAGCTGAGTTTTAGCGGGGGAGTAGCCTAGACTCCCCACTACGGCGGGAGGCTAGTTTATCATCAGCCTAATCTCTGGCGTGGTTTACTGTATGACAATAATCTCACAAGTACGCTATTCCAAGAAAAGGTAACCTGGACAACACCTATGATAACGCAGTAGCAACAAGGGAACACACATCAACACCAATAATGAATCCCGCAGTGGATAGGAATAGGACATGAGGCGCTGTGAGAGTCGACCACACGCTTGAGAGCTGGAATATATCATCCACTGTAAAAACCGTATCTTCTTGGATTGTACGAGTGTATGCGAATTTTTCTTCTTCCGTCATCAAGGTAGCACTCAATATCCTCGGTAGCCAAAAGTAGGAGGCGACACCAAATACGAGTAAAGATACCTTCCTGTATGTAACAAATAGCTCAATTCAGGGAGAGGTCCCCTTGATACCTGAGGACGAACTAAGAAGAAATCCAGCTATGTTGCAAATTTCAGCATGGTTGAGCGACATGTCAACGAACGCACCTCCAGCTGGGTTTACCTCCTTTACCGTCAAGATGAACGATAGCGTAAGCCAAAAGTCCAGAAAATGCGCCCCAAGGCTCGTAGCACTTAAGAACATGGCTATCCTTTTCTGCAACTCGTGGCGGGTAAAACTCCGACAGATATAAGATGAGTGCCGGAATCAGGGGCCCTGAAATGGAATGGAAGTAAACATGGGCAGTAAGAACTTGAAAACGGGACATACCTTCGGTCAGCCCTAGGAATAAACGGGAAACGATTAATCCATGGTAGGATGTGACGAAACCTTGTACAAGTGGAAGTCAAGATGATCAGGACTTGATTCCCGGGGTTTCATTTTTAAACCTTGGAATGTCTCGACCAGGCCCCATGCGACAACAAGGGTAGGTATAAATATACGGGCTCCAATCCTCTTAAACAAGAAGTTGGAGAACATCTCCACAAGTAGATAGGTACTAGTGGTATGAATTCAGCGATTGTAATCATTGGCCTTGCCGAAGCTGACCCACTAAAGAAATGCTCAAAACGATGGAAAATTGAGACGGGGACATTTTGAGGTCTTTCAAAAGCCCTGCTTTGCAACATTTCCTGTTCGAGTGAGCAGTCGTCAGAATCAAAATCGGGACAAACACAACACGTTTGGTCTCCACCTAGGTTCGTTTTATCCTTGAGCAAGATGATAGTCGGAAAGGTATTACGAGGTACGTGGAAGATTCAGCTCACGATAAGTTGAGGAAGTCTGACAAGGACTAGTTAAATTAAGGCTCATATTTTCTGTCCGGATAGCTTACAGACGACGTTGACGTCGTAAGGACAACAAGATCATTTTGACACGAGCTCGTCGAGCTGCGGCTAGATCGACACTGCCCTCCAAGGAGGGCGCCATTGACACTGCACTGCTGTCACGATGCTTCTTGCCACTAAAGTCGGGCTCCTCTGCGCCGACATTTGCGAACGGTTGGCTTATCCATTGCAGCGCCTGAGTGGGGGTGAGAGAAGAGGTGGGTTCAAAGGCTTTCCTGATACACGATAGTCAGTGAAACATTGAAGACCAAAAGTACTTAAAGGCGTTCACGAATGAACTCTCATACACTAAGCCATTCCCCCCAAATACTGGAAGAACAGGTATACAACGGATGATCTGTGGTACTACGTTGTGGTAGTGATGATGGGCTTCTTGAGAAGATGCTCGCTAGGAATTGTTCTAAGTGTATTCAACGACAGTCTTGATAATGCTGATCTACAGCATTATATATCTCGCAGTTATACGTTATTCCATTCTCCGGCTCTGCTGATGAGCTTTTCAACGTGATACGATGAAAAAAAGAATTAGATATTCTTCCCAGAAGCATTCGGGCACGGCCCAGGTATCATCAAGGGTTCTTGTGTACCAAGCTGTAAGACGTTAAGAACCATTCACGCCCACTTCTCCGGTGGGTCATAATACAAGTTGTTCGTAAGACAAGAGGTCGCGAATATCATGGTCATATTGAGCGGCGTCCAGGATCGAAGTGAACAAGTAAGATGCCTCAGGCGTAAGTCACGGAACAAGGGACACGAGAAATCATCGCCGAATCACTAGTTGGCGCAGGATATACCGAGTCCATCTCCCTCCCTTCCCAAGTATAGCCGTCAGGGGCGGGCTCCAAGGATTAATTGTGTCCGCCAGTGATACCAAGTCAAATTTCATCGCCCCATCCACATGCACATCCACGCCATTTTGCAATGCATGTGAGAGCCAGTTATTGTACAGATCATGCATTGAGATGGTTGGATAAAGGCAAAGCACCGATTTCATATCGGAGGGACCGTCGTTATTCAAAACTCTGCCCAGGGCCAGTGCCGATGGAGGGGTAGCCGGAGCTCTGATGTGCTCGCTATTCGCGGTGGGTTCCCAGTGGCTTGATCAGAAGTATGATCCTAATGAATCGTTCCAACCGAGACTCTCATGTCCAATTTCAGATTAGGGATCAGGAGTTACACTGACCAATGGCTGGACGATTGAAGTCAGATGGACCTGAAGAGCAACAACGCCTAAAGACATGCTACAAGAGCAGTGTCTCCAATAATATGACAAGAGCTGCTCTGTAGGAACTGGTCACCATGAGCACAAGCATCAAAGCTAGGGTTCCAGGAATGGAATAAGCCGGAAACGTGAGACGACTGCGGAAGTACTCTCGGGTGACCAGTAGAAGGTGTAGGCGAAGTAGAATATGTGGGTTCGTTCGGCGATGATCGGCGAAGTTGAACCTTTTCCACACGAAGATCAAACCGGACATCAACACGGATAGAAAGGCACCCCGCTAAGGGGTGTGTTCCACAAGAGAACCCGTCTGATCAAGCGCGCATGCATCAGTAATTCCCAGCTGTTCCCATTGTCCGGCGAGGTGAACAGGCCGAGGATCTACCTAGACGCGGCATCTCCAGGCCTATCCTGAGCTTCCTTCCAGGCTGAGGATCTCGAGCCCTGACCAATGTCTTCCGCGAGGATATTGCCGGCGTGCCAAGCTGTTCAACTCCCAGTTCGCCATTTATTGGCAGCTCAGCTGTGCTTCCCTCAAAGGCATTGCAAACACATTAGGAATGTTCCAGACATGCGCGTGAGAAACGGATTGAAGCCTGACACAAGTGTGGAGCGGAGAACGATTAGTAAAGGACGCTGAACCTGGCATTTGGATCTGCAGAGCTCAAAAACCCTTGAGTTCTGGAGTATGCAATGACTTCTTGAGCTGAATGAACTGCAGTTACCCCCCGGCTCAAAAGGGCATAACAAAAATGCAACTGCCCGGGTGAGACTCGAACTCACAGCCTCCTGATGTCAGCACGGTAACAGTCAGACGCGCTAACCAATTGCGCTACCAGGCACCCATTGGTTTGGGAGTTTTATTGGACCCTATACTCTTTTAGATCGCCGGAGGAGGTTCAGACTGTCGACCGATGTGGCTATGCATACCCCACCTCATTCATGTTCTCACTGCGGAAGGAAAACAATGATTCTGTTAGGAATGATACTCCCGAGTTTAAGAAGGACCCAAACCCTAAAGGGACCGTGAAGTCATTTGTCGCCGTTCGTACATCCTTTACTTGCGGGGGTACAGGAACAATGGGGTTTGACACAGCCAACAGGAATCTCCATCTGCCAAGTACATCTTGGACAGTCCGAAACGCGACACCGTCGAAGCAGACTTGTGTCGGCAAGAACCAGATGGGAGTAAACGGTGCATCAAGGTGTGCGGTTGCAGGCATGGTGCACTTTCATCAATGACTATTCACAAACCCACTTCAATGATAGGTTGCATTACAATCTCGCGCCCTGTTTTCAACGATGCAGGTCCGTCAAATTCCCTCAAACGTCCCGGCGATGGTGTTGAATTACTGTGATGCACGTTAGAGCCTCGGCTTCTACTGCGCCCTACCTTTCGATCCAAAACACACGGAAATTGAGTGTACCCCCATGCCGAAATAAACAACTATGTGTGAATGCCAATACCGAGCTCGTTTTTCAATCCATGACGTCCTTGCCTTGAAGTCAGCTTGAGACCAAAAAGAGCACCTCAGACCCCGAAAAAAGTGACACGAAATTGTGCAGTAGATCATTCAACTATGAACACTTAAATCCTCGATAAGACCATCTTTGACAAGCTCATCAAAGGCTTCGATATTCACGATACCCTTTTCAAGGCTGATTCTTTGGCGTTCCGCGATCTTCCTCCTGTCCTCCAATGCAAGGAGCTCTGCGGTTGCCACCATACCTTCATATTGCAATCTCAGAAAATTAGGAGTGTTCGCGTTGATTTTCTTCCACGCCTGCGTAGTGGACGCAACATGCTTTGCGATCTACGAGAAAATGACATAGAATGAGCATGCGAGTACGGTGGGACAGATTAATCACGAACATTTTCCTCCAAATCCTCAGCAAGAGGCCGTTTGCGCAACTTAGGAATATAGGGCGGGCCTCTCCTCATAGTAGCCGGGGCGGAAGGAATTTGTGAGCGTGTCGCAAGTGCTTCCTGAGACCTAAAGTTTCTCGGCTCAGTTGGAGGCGCCTTCGGAACAACACTGCTCGGTGTTTTTGAACTTGGGCCTGGGTCAGAGTCCGTCATCTTCTGCACGCCCGAAGCAGCCGTTGTATTCGCAGCGTTCTGGCTTGGTACAGGACCAGGGGAGGTGCTACCTAGAGCGGGGGTTTGGACAGGTGGCTGCTGCGCCTGCGGTGTTGGCTCAAGACTGGGGGTTGGCTCAGGGATTGGGAAATCAGGTTCCCCAGTCTCAACGGGTAGCGTTGTTGTAGGCGGGGACATCGGAGGTGCGATGGCGGTAATATCCTTGGGACCCGTCGGTGTGGGGCTATTTGGGGATATCTGGGTGGGATTGAGCGGGTGAGTTCTGGGAGGACGCCTGATTTTCACAGGTGGAGATGATCTGTGTGAAGGCGACCTTGATCTTGAACGCATCCTAGGATCACCAGTAGACACACCATCCAGTCTGTTCCCAATAGCCCCACCCACCGACCTTCCCCGTTCTTCTCCGCTCTTCCGTGCATTGCTCCATTCCCCCGAGCTAGGAGACGATCTACGATTTGCTTCTTCATTTAGTCTTGACCCTGGAGAGACGGGTTGTTCCGCCCTCGGGCCACTCGACTCGTACGTCCCTCCGCCATGTGAAGTAGTTGACTGGCGATGACTCCCATCCTGTGAACGTGAGGGCGAAGGAGAGTAATGTGAGCGGGATGGACGTCCGGCATCCCTTCCCGAGGGATAATTTCCTCGTCTAGACATGCTGTGTTGGCTCGTATATGTGTCTCGGTGGTGACGGAAGGTGCGAGAATACGAGTCTTGTGGATACCCTGTCAAAACATAGAGCGACCTAAGCACCATCGAGTGAGCTCGAAAAGGGGTACAAACAGACCGTGAGGATCTCTTCTAGGATAATGATCCGGATATCGTTCGAGTCTACCATAGTTTTCCCTCTCAAGAGCATCTTGATACGGCGTTCTGTCTCGGCGCTCGTAGGCTTCATCCCAAGCTCTCCTGTCCTCATACCGACCATCATAGTAGCGACCATCGTATCTGTCATATCTCTCGCGCTCATAAGTATGATCGGGATACCTGGAAGAGGATGAAGAATGTCTGGAAGAATGTGGAGGAAGTGAAGACGATGGGTCATGGTACGAATTGGAAGCGTAGATTTCCCCTCTGTCTCGCCCACGAGACGAGTACGAGGAGTTAGGTGCCGTCCTGCGGGAAAGGGATTGGCTAGTCCGGGATGCGCCTCCTCTGAACGCTGGAGGCCTTGGTGGCAAATTCGACATTTCAGTCAGCACTCGATAAATTTCTCAATGAATTATATTGTGCAAGAAAAAAAAGCTCCCAAATAAGCGCCACGAACGAACAGGCAATGGAAATCCGGTAGCGGTTGAGAGGCCAAGATCGCTTCAAGCAAACTGGTCAATGCGATTGTATTGAAGCGGAGTTGGCCGAATATTTTTTTTTCATTGTTATGCTGTCGAATGGCCAACTTTCGACTTTGTGGGGCTTTCTGGGAGATGATACCTTCTTTCTCGCCTACTCTGATGTCGCATTGAGTGGCCTCTCATTGCACTAATTATTTGCACCTGGGTCCCATCCCTTTCGTCAGCAGTCATCTCCTTTCTTAGCGGCAAGAATTTGTGCAAGAATGACTAGAATGCTCAGATACATTATTCGCTCGTTATAATCGGCACCCGGGATAGGCGCTCATCCCTTCCCTTCAGTCTTGCATTAGGGGACTGGAGGCGGAAGTCAAGGGATGCAGCCTACATGCTTTATCCAGCAACGTGGCGATTAGAATGAAAAAAAATCATTGTTGGCCACACTTATTGACATTCTAGCCTTGCAGCGTATGTGTTCATCAATGGTATCAGTATAATTGTAGATTTAACTTGGAAATCTGTCAAATGGCTTATATCGTATTGCTCCTCATTTTATCACCATCATAGACACTAGGAACAAGTCTTGGCGTGTTAAT